TTGTCAATTCACGTTTGGGACTTTAGGAGCCATTGTGCACTTTGTGTAGAAGCTTGCTTTGCGGACAAAAAAATCATCACACAGGCTACATCTACAGATGTTAGTGGAGACCGATGAAGGTTTCAGGTGCTGCATCCCCTGAGACAGGTGTTCACAACACCCTCTCCTACAGGAAGTATCGGGGTTTTCACTTGCCCTGCTTGCTTCATGGCTGCAAACGGGGTCGCGTCCAGTCACGTCCTTATCCCTGACAATGGCATTTGGTTCCTCACCCCCGAGCGTTCGACACGAGCTTATTTGCCTCGACTCAGATGACGACGACATTAGTTTAACCGCAGATTTGCCATATTTCACACAAGCAACTCAAATCGTCGATCGCCCTACCGTTAATCGACCATAACCATCCGTCCCGATACACAGGTCACAGGTACCTCGAAGGCTCCGGGTCCCAAGCCGCCCGCCTACCCTTCGGGCCTGGATCGAGACGATGACAGAGGAGCTGTGCAATCTTTAGTTGCCCTTATTCTGGGATCCAATCATTCCGCTCCGGATTCGGAACCCTTCTATATTCTCCAATACAATGACACTCCATGATCAGATCCTATAGACCACAGAATAACACCTTCCTTTTCCCACCTTATTCCACCACCGTTTAGAGCCAATGCTAGATGTCACCTAAGCTATTAGCAACCAAGGCGAATGCATCGATACAAGACAGGCTTTTAGCCTAAATTGCAGGGAGATAGCGTGTTTTTGGAATCACATTCCAAACCCCGGATTATTTAAAAATTAGCACTCCTTAAACACATTCTCGATATAATTCGGATGGTTGATTTAGACTGACCTCGTCTGCCGTTGGGCTAAGGTTATATAACAGAAGCGTTAAATTCTTTTCGACAGTAGAAGTGACACTTCAGGAGGAAGAGACTGGCTTGAGTATTGGGTACTAAGAAATATATCGTCACCAGTTTTATTTTCTCAGAGCGCGACAACCATGATGGAGCAAGGAGCCTTGCGGTAAAATAAGACGACGAAATAATGTCTATAAAGACTACTCTGAAGTGAAATAAATACCCGTCAGATCATGACTCGATAGGCGTGGACATAGCTGCAGCGCCGTCGAACATCATCCCGACTGAGGCTCCACACAAACGTTATCATCTGAAGTTTCAATGTAGTCGACAAGCCTTTTTATGCTGATACTTCTTCGTATACCTACCAAAAATAAAAGACCATACTACCAAGGATAAGCAAGGATATCCCCGGATATAACGTAGATGGTGTACAGGCATGAAAGGAGCCCAGGTCTCAGGGTCCGGCAATATACTCTGCAGTGAACCTTGACTTCCAGACAATTTCATCAGAATAAGTCGTGATAAAAAACAATGTAATTGCCTTAATTAGCCAACCCATGGCAGAGGCTCACATATATTCATTTCTTCACTACTTTACCCATCGACCTTCTTACTTTTCTCTTACACAACTCTCCATCAACAATCTAGATAGCGCAAAACAAGATGTCTTTCTCCGACTAGACCCTCCCCTCGGCCCTGCGCCGAGCAAGCCTGCGCTCGCCCCGGCTCCTGTAGATACATCATTCTCAGAACACCAACTACAATTAGATCCCTCTGTCTCTCTTCCCTCAACCAAGACAAACTTATCGCGCAATGCCAGCAACCCATCCCGCCAATGCACTGGCCACAGAAACCATCGAATCCCAACTGAATATCCCATTACCGCCTGTCTATCCGTCATTAGGTAATCTAACCAACGAAATTTCTATCAAGACCAGACGTCAATCCTCTTTTATACGAAAAGTTAGCTGGGTTGATTACACTCGTCGAGTTTCTTGACATTTTCTTTCTTGATACGACCAAAGTCGAGGTAATGCGAGGTATTATTTGGAAAGACAGTTTTGAGGAGACAAGTGTTACAGAGACTTTGACTGCAGTACCTATCCGTGAGAACCCTTTGGGTTTTGACTTTTGACTTTGGTAATTCCTGGGGTAACCTGAAATTCGGGCTATTCGTGTTTTAAAAAAATACATCTGCGGAGAAAAAGAGTAGAGGATTATATACATGTAATGATGCTTTTTTCACCATTTTTGCTCTTGTCTATCTAGTTTATTATGCTCTTCTATGCAAGATTTCAAATACTTTCTCAGAGGCTTCCGCGGGAGTAGTTTTCTGCTTTTTCATGTCTTCAAACACCGCGACAACCCTCTTTGAGCGGTCACCCGTTTTAATCAGGTCGTGATAAACCCTAGGCTTGTCCTCGAGGCCGATGCGGTTTATCAACTCCAGGTAACAGTAATTGCCATGGGGATCGCAATGCATGATTCTGGGTAGATGCTCGCGCCGTGCCCGGCGGCTTCTCTCCCAGTCCTCCGGCCAGAGGGCATTGTCTCTCGGTAGATGTACCGTCTTTGCAACTAGTATCTGTACATTTTCTTTCCGACTCATCAGGTCACCGAGAGTTTGCTCATGATTCCAGCTCAGTGCCTCGTCAAGCTCATATCCCCGATCCAAATGTCTTTCCAACGCTTCCCGAAAATGTTGGGGCAAGATCTCTTCTCTATCGGTGATGAATTCGCCAATCTTGAAGAAGGCTTCCAAGGCATTGCCGTGTGTCTGTTCGCCAATTCGTTTCCCAATGCATCTGATCTTCCAGCTCGCTGCGATTGCTATGGTTTCTTGAACACTGTCCGTAATTTTACTCTTAATTTTACGCGAGTAGGCTTCCAGCAGAACTGCGACCGCCTCTTTAATATCGGCAATGAATGATACGACTTGATCTTCTGCGGGTGGTAAGACATCACGTCGGCGTTCGCAATGGGACCGAAAATCGTATCCGTATAATCCCCCTTGCCACCGAGCAGCGATAAGTTGCTTGAGCTTCTCGACAATTTCAGGCAGGCATGACACGCCATTCTTTTCTCATGTCCTCATACAAAACACTGTGATGGTGTCGTTGTCCCTGGTGCACGGTCTGGTACATCTCGTCTTCCGTGAGGAGCCCAAAGACGAAGACAATGATGGAGTTGAGGCTGTTTTCACCATGAATCTGTTCAGACTCGGATTCTTGAATGACGGATATCATTACGTATTGGGGGGGATAAGTCGAGGTTGTGAAAATATATCAATGCCCAGCAAATGTTCAACAGGGTGGAGAAGGCGTTGATCTTGGATTGAGGACGCTGGTCTACCACGACAATTTCCTTCACGGCGGTCGCACATTTGATGGCTGCCGCGTAAAGTGTTTCTGCTTTTCTGCTTTTCTTCGTGTCGGCAGGATCCTGCTTGACGACCTGAGTCCAATAATCCACCTCTTGGAACATTTCATATTGGTCGTTGTATGAGGGGGGCGGCGGTATTACGTTACAGAAACCGGTGACTGCAGAGCAGACAGCTGGGGAGTCTTTGGCTAGATTGAGAAGTAATGATTGTAGTTGTTCAGGGGTCGCCCATTTGACGGCGTTGACGAGAACCTGCTTGTCGATGTCTGCTGTGCTGTCCTGTGGTGTAGGGGATTCGATCCGGCTTCGTTTGGTGGCGTCGGGAGAAGTCTCTTCTGAGCCAGAGGAAGAATGCAACTTTCTTTTCTCCGCCACCTTGTTGGAGCTGTGAAAAAAAAAAAGAAAAGAAAAGAAAAGAAAAAGAAAAAGGAAGAGGAAAAGAAATCAAGTCAGGGAAACGCGAAACGCGAAACAAGCGCGAACCCTGACTATTCGTTATCGCTCAAGAGATCAGAGATAATGATAACGATGACGTAGGCTGACTTACACGAGATTGCTTTCCCTTTTCGGAATGCAGTCTCAAGAGCAAACATCGTTATTGCCGATGGTAATCGCCGATAAATCCCAGCTTACGAGGATGTTGATGACCAAATTTCCAAACTGCCTAAAGTCCTTTCCATATCTACAAAACCCCAACTTGTCCCAACTCTTCTTGTTTTCTTGTCTTTCCCAGCATCCAAACATTTTATTTCCCAATTATACCCATATCCTCACAATGCATCTCATCCTCACTGGCGCAACCGGCCTCGTCGGCTCGGCAGTACTAAATGCCATGATCAAGACCCCTGAAATCTCCAAAATCTCCATCCTCAGTAGACGTCCAGTCCAACAAGCCGAAGACTCCAAAGATCCCCGAATCAATGTCATTATTCACAAAGATTTCACCCAGTATGACTCTGAAGTATTGAGCAAACTCCAAGGAGCCGACGGCTGTGTCTGGGCATTGGGAATCAGCCAAGCAGAAGTCAACAAAGAGTCAGCACCACCCTGCTCTATTCCATTTTGTTAGACAATCAAACTGACTTGTGTCAAATTCCAGAGGCTACATCGCAATCACAAAAGAATATCCCCTCAAATTCGCACAAGCAGTGACATCCACCTCCCTCTCCCGTCCACTCAACTTCATCTACGTCTCTGGCATGGGAGTAACCCATAACCCCGGCCGGTTCACCGCGATCTTTGCCAAAGTCAAAGGCGAAGCAGAAATCGGTCTCGACGAGATCCGCGCCAAGAATCCCGATTTCAAAACAGAAAGCATCCGTCCAGCATTCGTTGACTGGCTCGATCAGCCAGAGATCAAACCATACCTTGGCAAGAGCATAGGTCTCGTCAAGACTGGTCTTGGGAATGTGATGCAGCCTTTCATCAAGTACGGAGCCAAAACCAGCATGTGGTCTCCCACGGAGATGCTTGGATGGTATAGTGTTGGTTTGGCCATGGGGAAATGGGAAGATGAGTTGAAGAAGGCGGATAAAAAGGATGTCGAGGTGTTGCCGGGTGGGACGAGGATTATTGAGAATCCTTGGATGTGGAAGATTATGGGTGGGAACTGAGCACTTCCCTACTCGTCAAATGAGCTTTACTGCGGCGCCGAGGCTGTAAGTATGTGCGGGGGCGGGGCTAGGACGGGGTCCATCCCCCAAGCAGGCCCGCTCATAGTCCGCTTTTGCTCCCTAGGTTACCAACATTAATAGCGAGACAAACCCCCTAGTGGTGCAGCGGCCCAGCACAAGTAAAAGACAACGGCAGCTATGCTCAACTTTCACCGAAGCTTAACGTTCGATTCCCACTCGGGACGCACGGGTTAGGTTTTTCTACCTGGTAGGTAGGACCCAGCAAACTTAGAGCGGGAGCGCCCTTCTATACGGCCAAGTGTTTAGTTGTGGGGATCTGATCCTGGTGCTTTCTACATAAGACCCTGGTTCGAATCCAGGCTAGGGGGGATTGTCTATTCTTTTTGCCTTTTCTTTCTTTTTTTCTTTTTCTTTTTTTTTTTTCGTCTCCATTTTACGAGAAATCTGCTTTTGTATCACACACACACACACATTCGATGTGGCACCGACAACAACAAGACCAACAACCACAGCTACCAGCAACCTGCACACCCCCGCAGCTCGCCCGGCACTCTCATCACCGCTCGCTGCTGGGCGCATCCGCTTTCCCCTTCTGAATTTCCCAGAGCGCGGTCGGCAGGCGAGAGAGAGAGGAAGAGGATTTCACTTTTCGAAGAAACGCGTCCTCTTTCCCAGGACTCAACAGCTTTTTCTTTCAGCAGGGACAGCGCAGCCTTGCAACCGCAACCAAACAGCGACATCACGGAGGATGCGGCGCTCGATATTGATCTTAACTAGCAACCAGTCGATGGCGAACTTTCTTTTCGAAACAAACAGCTCCAGCATGAGCACATATTGATGGACTAGATGGGTTGGAAAACAAAAATAACGATCACTCGCCAAAAGCGGTTTCCTTTTTAGGATCTGAATGTTGAGCACCTGTTTCTTGGGCCAGGTTATAAGGTGTTTCACAATATCGCCAGACAAACTGTTTTCAGGGTGATAGACCGTTAAGAAGAAAAGAGAATTCTGATTGATTTGTACGAATTGGACGGTAAAGTGCACTTGGGAATTTTTGGGATTCGGGGGAAAGGGAGCGGAGGGCAGATGATTCATTGGAGTTGTGAGAATCAATAGACAGACAGGCTTTAGACATATTTCATAGCAGATACCAAGTAGTCGATCATCAAGTTTTCCAAGCCAGCTACCTAAATATACTGTTAACCTTCTTAACAGTACATACTGTGTCCTCGATAATATCCCTCGAGCCCGGCACGTGTCGATCATGGAAATGAAGCAGAAAGATGATGTATTGTTAGGGAAGAAAGAAGATCTACAGTGGAGAGCTAAGATAAATAATGGGGGTTGGAATGCAAACGCCGGACCGGATAAACCCCGGTTCTGACAGCGCGACTGGGCCGTTTCCAGCTTATTTCAAAGAGCAGATAGAAAGAAAATATATTTCTCAGGTTCTCCGACCGCCGCGCGCCTGGGTCTTGTGGCAGTGGTTGATTGACATTGCTGGAGGAGTGACAAGCCTACCGAGATAGTTGAATGTTTTTTTGAGGCGAAAGAAGCTTGTCATGGTATGAGATATCGGAGACCGGCTGGTAAGACGACAAAGGGTCAGTAAATATACGCCTAGAAATTGAGAAGATGGACTTACGTGGGCCCATATGAACCAGAGGAACGGGAACTTGTGGCCACGGGGTGCGCAACGAGGTCCGAGCCCCGCGGTCTTGTCCTTCAAGCCGGTTCATGTGCTAGATACATTCGCCTTCATCGTGTTCGTCCGTAATCATCTCGAAAACTTCTCTGTGTTGGGGATGAGGGAAAGGTGTCTGTCCTTTTGGCGTCAAAAAGATACTCCAGTTGATGGTTCTCGCGGGGAAACGGTCCAGCCAGCGCCCGCCCAATTATCGCATCCAATTTAGTGCAATGGAAGAAGAAAAAGAATAATGAATTATCCCTATTCTCCTGGGCTGAGTTTCTGCAGGTTCTGGTTGATCGTCTCGATGGCTGATTGACCGGGGTTGAGCTCTCTGCCTTGGGGCATCAGGGGCAGGAGGGAAGAGCTGGCCGTCGAAGCGGGCGCAGCGATCGGCGCATTGCCGTTGGAGGGGGCAGCATAGCTCTGGGGGCCCCCATAACTCAAACAAGACCATCTAAAAACCGAACCCCCGGCGGAGAAATCTCGTGGTCCAAAGGTTGGTGATTTCACCAAAGGGGAGACGATTGATCGTCAAGATACGACAGGACTAGAAGCATTGAGAGGTGATAAATCCCCAGACCTGTCCTTCCATGGCACCGCAAGTATCTGTATAGTGAGCGCGATATGAGTCTCGCAATACCGTAAGTGGTGGAATAAGGACGGATCGATGAAGTGCCAACCGGGCTGTATTACAAGGTAGTTTGTAATTGTCAGCGACTTTCTAAATCAAATCGACCACGAGTAGCGTGTTATTTCGATGGTGGAATACCTGGAATGTAGCCTTGCTCAGAAAGTTGGAGTTCTTGAATCTGGGCGAGGCGTTACCCTCGACGGTAAATAAAATATCACCCGCAGCACGGACTAGATCGTCCTCCATTTGGCGCTTTCTGGCGTCCCTCAGCGATTGCTCGAGATGTGGACATCGTGAAGATTGACATTAAAACCCGCGTGGATGTTCTAGAGAACGCACTTCTATAACTCCAGGACACATCATGTATATATCATCGGCGCTCAGGGGTCTTTTGTCGGTGTTGAAGATTGTTTTTTCTACGAATTCGACGGTAAGAGCGTCACTGAGATCCTCGAACCTCAATATCTCCCGGGCTGTAGAAAGATGGACGAGCATGCGCCTAACCTCCATAGACACCTCTTCGTCAGCCTCCAATAGCAGGTAATTGCAGGGTTCGTGATGGAGAAGTGATAGGTAGGTAGGAAAGTTTGTCGATTGTGATAGACACCTCTTCGTCAGCCTCCAATAGCAGGTAATTGTAGGGTTCGTGATGGAGAAGTGATAGGTAGGTAGGAAAGTTTGTCGATTGTGATATATTTTGACAATGAATTGTTTATGAATAGTGAGCAACTCGATGAGTCGAGTGCGTTTGGAATCCCGCACAGACAAGTGAAAGGAAGGAAATCGTTTGTGAAAATGGGATATTTGGAGGGAAAACTTGAGATGGGATTTACCAAAAATAATGGATGGACGGGATCGAAGATGAAGAGGTTATTTCCAGACTTTGCGGGGATTATGAGCTTGATGGTTTGGTTGTTGTCGGGAAAGGGACGCGAGCCAGTCCCACCGCTCGGTGGCGGGCTCGGCCACATTGTAGGGATCGATGCCTAAAACCGAGGTTAGTTTTACTTTCATCTCATTCTGTCAAGACCAAATCAATCCCATCCCAACACTTCAACACATACCAAATCTCGCAAATTATGCCCCACTCTCTAAACTCTCGGATGAGAGGCATTCTGGCGGAATGGTCTCACTGGCATTGCTCCTCGTGGGTGAGTTCAACATTCCATGGAAGATGGCAAGAGCCAGTGAGGTTGGAGGTGCAGCAGGAATTTTGAGGTGTTGCCCAGGCAACCTGGACCACACCTCTTCCCCAGCTTTCTCTGCTTGTCAGGACCTACTCCACCTTCTCTCAACTTGATCTGATCGTGCTACTGCAGTCAGTTTCATTCCTTTTCCAAACCAACCTCATCTGCAACCTCTGCTCGATCTCGGTATTGTAAGATGCTACCCGCCTTTCATAGGCTCTCCAAGTTGGAGAAGCTGATTTTTAAGTTGTATTCCTCAACCTGTTCATCCTCGATAGAGCAATCATTCTAACCAGTTTTTCCCCCAAGGCAGTCGATGACCGATTGCGCGAAATACGTCGACAAGAACGAGGGGTTGGGGCCTTTTATGTCTCTTACCCCACGACTTTGTCCATGACGGATGTTTCTTTCGAGATAAAAGATGGTAAGATATCGCCCTTTGTTCCTGATCGTCTACTTGGGCATGATGGTTCATCATTGACACATCGACTAACGCATGGGAGTCAGCATCCAGATGCCGGTATGACAAAAGACGAATTCCTCATGTTCGTTGCTATAGCATAGAACCCTCGCAACGGCACGCTCGAGGCAGCCCCCGACCTTATTTGGGCCGACTGCCTGGCTTTTTTATTTTGGACAGTTGCCCCACCAGCCATAGCTCGGGTCCAACACCCCGACTGGAACTTAACCTTTCGCTTCAACACTATTTCTTCCCGTCCACGATCGTTGAGAGGGTACAGCCATGGTGACAACTGGCAGTAGCAAAGAACCGCTGCACCCGCATGCTGCCGTCCTGAGCCGGTCATCCATTAGTGTTTCAACCCCAATACTTTCCAACAAGTCAATCACTGTTGCAGCTCCATCAATACATAAGCCGGTCAAGACAAAACAGCTTATACCTGCCCGCATTGGCGCCGAACAATGGGTCATCTACAAAGAAACCATAACAAATTTTCTGATGGGTATGTGTGTGCCAACTACCTATCTATCGACGTTGAGGACGAGAAGACAGAGACTGACATTGATAGTGGAACAAAGAACAGCTGCACCCGCATGGCGGCAATGGCATGAGCGCTCGATTAGTTGTTGTATGTTCCTGGGTTATGGGAGAATGGCGGGTTCTTCAATAAAGTTAGGGACCAACTCCTTCTTTGGGGTGACTTCAACCAAGGCGAGAGCACCGAGAACTTCTTGTCAGATATGCTACGGGATTACACTTTAACCTCATCAAAACAATCTCTCAATCTCATCCTCTCAACATTTTGAGCTTTCCCAGTGGGTAATTCTGCGCAGCTTCAGCCTCAATTCCTCAATTAACCCATTTTGAGTCAACAGTCAAGCACAACGAGCTCGGAGGACAGATTAGTTGGGAGGACTATGAGTTACTGGACCCAAGCGTTGAAGATGGTCCCCACGAAGACAGAGAGACGAGAAGATGTGGGATCTTCCAGCCGAGGAAACGAAGGAGTTTAGCATAATGAAACAGCATGCCCGCAAAGTATTTTGTGATTCCCCAATGTGGTGATTATACGTGTGGGGAAAGAGCTAAGAAATAATGGAACACCGATCTCATGTATTGACAATTCAGTCACGACACGTCCGAGGCCCATCTTTCCAGTTTTCAATTTCATAAACCAAAAGATGCCAAATCCCGTGAAGTCGTTCCCGACTCGGCCATTACTTGCTCTGTCCCCGGGCGCAACCATCCAACAGTTTGATAACTTCACCAAGCAGACGTTGCCTTTGTCCCGGCTTTTTCACAGTGGACGCATCTCGCTGTGCCAAGTTAGACGCTCAGTCGGGCGACGTCCACGGCTGTCCAATCTGCAACACCACCTCCCACTCATTTGATACATATAA